TGCTCCTCAGAGTCCCAGCAGGAGGCCAGTCCCTGTGCTCCTCAGAGTCCGGGCTGGTTCATATGGGACTAACATGTCACTAATATATTTTGGTGCGAGGCCATGGAGAGACTTGTACACAAGCAGAGCTGTTTTAAAGTCTATTCTCTGAGCCACAGGAAGCCAGTGCAGAGACCTGAGAACTGGACTAATGTGGTCGTACTTCCTGGTTCTAGTCAGGACTCGAGCTGCTGCATTTTGAATGTACTGCAGCTGTTTTACAGCCTGTTTGGACAGACCTGTGAGCAGGCCATTGCAGTAGTCTAACCTACTGGAGACAAATGCATGGATAAGAATCTCCAAGTCTGCTTTAGACACTATGTTTTTGATCCTGGCAATGTTTTTTAGATGGTAAAAAGCTGCTGATGTTACTGATTTAATGTGGCTATTAAAATTTACGTCTGAGTCCAGTATTACTCCTGTTTTAAATATGTTTTTGTTGAAAAATACTAACTTGACATAATAATACAGCGTCTCTTTGTCAGAAATATACATCATTGTCCAAAATGAATTACAGTTGAAGTGGCTGAGACCTTGTACCACTGACCTACTATTACTATTCCCCCCCCCCCCCCACACAGAAAGGTCTGGTGGTGGGAAAGAACCCAGGACCTTCCAGCTTTTGTCTTTTTTCCAGCACAGATAAAGACATTTATTTGATTCGTTGGCAAATAAGTTCTGGTGGTGCTAATTCAGACAATTTCTTTATTTTTTGGCATTTTTTTGTTGTGTTTTGTCATCCAACATAATTTATTAGTGCAAAAAGAAGACATTTTTTATATCTACTATATCAAAATATCCTTTATAAAGGGTGACGGCCCAATGGTATCTCCTGAGCCGTAGGTTGGAACCATAGACTGTAAATATTAACGGACATAGTCACGCCTATCTCCGCCGTTCTAACTAATGTGCCACAACTTCCATGGTCTATGGGCAGTTTCAAAATGGCCGCGGGGGCTGGAAAATGTGAAAAAAAGTTAGCTGGCACCAGACCATTTCGGCCACTTTTGAGCCGGTGTTCTGTCGAGTTGGTCTGCCCGTCGAGATGATCTGGCTCAGCTGTTAATGATGTAATGCAAACCAGCGCTGCGCGTCTCACGGTGGCCGAAGCAAACCAAGATGGCGGACATGGAGTCTGTGAATTGCTTTAAAAGTTAAATACGAACGAATTAAGACTCAAATGTCACTTATAATACAATTTGAGGCGAGATGTTGATGGTTCCGTGTTGTGATATGTGTGTTTTAAGAGTAAGAGTTTTGTGTAAAGTTTGTTTTAAGCAGTACACTGCTCCTGTGAAACTACACTGCTGCTGTGTGATCGCAGTCCCTGAGTTGACGTCATTTCACTGACGTCAGGCCCATGACGCGTCCTGTGACTGGTCTGTCGGGTTGATAATGGAAATAATACATTACATTTAATGCATGTATCATACTGTATTCAATATGATTTACAATAGTGTGTTCAAACAAAATATTTCATTAGATTTAGTTTTTTCCCCATTCTGGCGGGTTGCTGCGAATGTGCAAATCAGATTTGGGCACACTAGCAGTGTAGTTTCACAGGAGCAGTGGACTGCTTAAAACAAACTTTACTCGAAACTCTTACTCTTAAAACACACATATCACAACGCGGAACCATCAACATAATTACCTAAAATTGCATTAAAAGTGACATTCGTGTCTTAATTCGTTCGTATTTTAACTTTAAAAGAAATTGACGGTCCGCCATCTTGGATTGCTTCGGCTGCCGTGAGACGCGCATGCGCAGGTTTGAATGACATCATTAACAGCTGAGGCAGATCATCTCGACGGGCAGACCAACTCGACAGAACCCCGGGACCTGCCCCCACTGGTTAGAACCCACTGCTTTAGAAATATATGATTTCCTTTTTTGCTGCATCATGTCGTCCTGGTAATAACAGAGCCCTCTTACCTCATAATAAATCTCTTTGCTCCAAACTTTCACATCACAAACCAAACTAATGACTCACTCGCCGCGCTCGCTCCCTCGAGTCCAAACGGCCTGGAGTCGTTCCCGATAAATATATAAATAAATACATAAAACACTGCAAGAATCGAATGAAAAAAGCAAAACAAAAGAGTGCTGCGGTGCAGGCGGAAAGGTCAACGAAGACAAAATCTCCCTGGCATCATCACAAACCGCACAAAGTCAAAGGGGCTGAGTCGCAGTGAATAAGCGCGGCGAGCTAATGCGCCGCTAGCTCGTGACGCGGCACATTCACAAAAAAACTATGGCTCCGAGGTCAAAACTGCGGCGGCGAGAAGTGCTGATGAACCTGCGAGCACAGAACTGAGCGTGTGCAGAGGCAAAGGTACAGGAGAAAATTACATCATTATGTCTTCTTCTAAGGCTCTAGAGCGTCTACAGATATAAACATTCAGCTACACAAGTCAGGCACCAGAATATATACTGGCTTCTTTATCATGCTAAAGTTAGAGATTTTACACTTGCTTCTTATTATGCCAACGTTAGAGATTTTTAAAACTGTTCTGTAACTGGTGATGCAACACTGACATTTCCCCACTGTGGGACAAATATAGGTTCTCTTAATCGTTAATCTTAGAAAGTTCTTTAAATACGTTCTAAAACTGGTGAATGTAACTTGAAATACAGTGGAAACCGTTTGTTAACACTAGGACCGCCGTGCTCTAAACCTACCCCTGCGGTCAGTTGACTGCTATGTATTTTGCGCTGATACAGCCTTTTGCCAAATTGATTTTCACTAAACCAGAACTTGATGTTGCAAATCGTGATCATAATGAAACTGTGTAAATTATTTGTCTAAATATGCTAAGTAATTGTAATTCTAGCCGAAATAAAAGACTAAGACGACACATTGTGCGTGTACTGATCCATCAAAATTACAATGACCTTTCAGGGTAGATTTATTTTGTAACTTTGCAAACACCTAAAAGGTCGGTCACTATATGTTAAATTTGACCCAGTAACAATATGTCAATTCAAACAATATAAATGATAGTTTAGAAAAGCACGGGACCATAACGTCTTCGCGCTGCTATGCGTCTACTTCTTACGTCATCTCCAGACTGTTTTCTCTTTCCAGCCGAAATCACCGTGGGAAATATTATCTAGATAATAATAATAATATTTGTATTGACACAAGATCATCAGCTAGGCTACCATCGTCAGTGTAAAATCTTCAATTTTACACGGGACACGTTAGAAAGACAAATATATATATATATATTTGTATTTATTTGAGACAAGCAGTGCTCTTTATGATCAGAACAAAATTATAATGATTGTCTTGCAGTGCGCGCTGTGCAGAATAACACACAGTGTTATCTGAATGAAATAAGAAAGATATCCTTATTGATATGATCAGGGCCGCTTCTGCCCCACAGTCGCTCTCCTCCTGCAGTGTCCGCGGGTGACGAGAGGATCACAGCGCTCTATCTGCACTCTGCCTTCTTTATTGCCTTCTTCTTTGTATAAATATAATAATGTAATTGATGATGAATGAAAAGGCAGAATGGAGCGACAGGCGCACACAGACCCCTGCTTATGGCATTACGCGGGTCATGTGCGTTATTGCTTCTGGACTTGTTCCAACACTGCTGTCCGTGCCGTGAATGCACTATGGGTTTACGTTCAGATTTAGAATATTATAGGTGTTCTCCCCGCTGTCACTTTCCACCTCAAAATGTGACATCTCACCTCCGTCAGACTGTTCTCATTCAATGTCTTGAAGCACTGTCAGGGCTTCATACCGTGTACTTGCAGCTCTATTCATTCTGTACTCCTCTCAATTCAAAACTCTTTCTCTCTCCCAAATAATAAAAAAAACAAGTCCCTTTAGAGTCTAATGACAACATATTGATACATTTTTATAAGGCGCGAAAAAACCCCCGGGAAAGGTTACTATGACAACAGTCGCCCCTGCACCATGTATCCCTATGGGGCAGCAGAAAGGGCTGTGGTTTAGAAAAGTTAAAATGCGTGTAAATCTTTTTTTCTTTACTTTTTCCAAAACCAAAACACACCAAAATATAACAAACAAGTACCCAGTAAAAGTCATAAAATTTCAACTTCTGGCGTTTTGTTTTGAATACACTAATTAGCATATTAAAGTGAGTGACGGTCAGTTGACCGCTAGGGGCGCTCCTAGTGTTAAAAGACTAAACCATTTCTTGCTGTATTTATAACATAATCATAATAATAATGATGCATTGGTTTTATACAGCGCTTTTTTGGACATTAAAAGACGCTTCACTCCGTGGAGACAAACTACTACTGTAGCCAGAGCTGCCCTGGGGCACACTGACAGAAGCGAGGCTACCAGTCTGTGCCATCAGCCCCTCCCTCCACCACCAACCATTCACACACACACACCAGACTCATTCTAATGTGGGGGAAGCACACATGGCACTTTACAGCTGCAGCCGCCCCACTGTGGCACCTGGTGATTCCCAGTGGTCTCCCATCTCAGCACTAACCAGGCCCTGTGCTGCTTAGCTTCAGAGGTAGCTTCTGACAGCCAAACATGAACTGTACATATGTTATCTGGGAACGCAAATACAAAGTAATGTCAAATAGTCCATTTTAAAGTAGATGCCTTGAGTTTTTCCAACAGCATAAGCCTCTATTCTTCCTTCTTTCCTTCTCTTCAATCTTTCTGCATCTGGTTTATCTTATTTCCACGCTGCCACACTACGCACTCAAATGAAAATATAGACTCATCAAATACTTCTTGACTTCCCTGTCATTTTGAAATAAGTTTATCTCCCCATGATTCTCCCCATGATTCTCCCCAATTCTTTCATCTGCTCTGATCTGCAGCCTTTGACGCAGTATCAGTATTCTATCAGTATTCCACTGGACCGTCCGGCCTCCCGCCTCCGTCCCCTGAGCCCCATCCCTAAAAGTGCAACTCTCCAAAACCATGTTCAACTATTTTAGCTTTATTTTAATCACTGCGCTATCTCCGCCTTTTCAAAACCCCGGGCTGACGCAAGACTCCGAACCCCGGGAAAGCCTTGCGTTTGTCCTCCACTTTGACAAACAAACGCGCAGCATCCGTGCAGTCCCCGGACGTCCGGCTGATTTGGTGAACTGGGAATAGGGAATGGTAATGAGAGGGCCGGGGCGCCACAGGAGATGAAATGGCGAGATGTCTGCTGGGACGCTGCTCTCATGATGAAACCGTGTGAAATGCCACAAAGGCAAAAGAGCAAAGTGATTAAAGTCCTTTGGCGCGGAGCTCAGACGGAGAAGTGAAGTGAGCCTCAGGAAGAACGGAGGGTCGATGGTGAGGAAGTGGTTTGGGATGTGGTGAAAAAGCACGGTTTACGGTTGCAATAGGACTCGCAGACAAACAGCAGCGTGGGGAGGAGATACTGTAGGTAGATAGATAGATAGATGCATAGATGGATACTTTATTGATCCCCGTTGGAGAAATTCAATAAAAAAAATAAAATGCATCATTCTAAAAAGCTAACAATTGTAATAATCAGCAACAGTCCTTCAGGTCACAGCAGCAGAGATGGAGTAGCCTCTGGGTGGAGCAGGACGGGTCACAGCAGCAGAGGTGGAGTAGCCTCTGGGTGGAGCAGGACGGGTCACAGCAGCAGAGGTGGAGTAGCCTCTGGGTGGAGCAGGACGGGTCACAGCAGCAGAGGTGGAGTAGCCTCTGGGTGGAGCAGGACGGGTCACAGCTGCAGAGGTGGAGTAGTCTCTGGGTGAAGCAGGACGGGTCACAGCAGCAGAGGTGGAGTAGCCTCTGGGTGGAGCAGGACGGGTCACAGCAGCAGAGGTGGAGTAGCCTCTGGGTGGAGCAGGACGGGTCACAGCAGCAGAGGTGGAGTAGTCTCTGGGTGAAGCAGGACGGGTCACAGCAGCAGAGGTGGAGTAGCCTCTGGGTGGAGCAGGACGGGTCACAGCAGCAGAGGTGGAGTAGCCTCTGGGTGGAGCAGGACGGGTCACAGCAGCAGAGGTGGAGTAGCCTCTGGGTGGTGCAGGACAGGTCACAGCAGCAGAGGTGGAGTAGCCTCTGGGTGGAGCAGGACGGGTCACAGCAGCAGAGGTGGAGTAGCCTCTGGGTGAAGCAGGACGGGTCACAGCAGCAGAGGTGGAGTAGCCTCTGGGTGGAGCAGGACGGGTCACAGCAGCAGAGATGGAGTAGCCTCTGGGTGGAGCAGGACGGGTCACAGCAGCAGAGGTGGAGTAGCCTCTGGGTGGAGCAGGTTGGGTCACAGCAGCAGAGGTGGAGAAGCCTCTGGGTGGAGCAGGACGAATCACAAGGTGGAGTAGCTTCTTGGTTTGGACCATTTTCTCTGTTCCGGTCCAAAGTAAAATGCTAAATTCTTAATTATCATTTTTCAAAAATGTCGCATTCCTCCAGTGGATTTTCGACCAAGCCACTTCTTTCGGACCATGAATCCTCTCTGCTCTGGTCTGGACCAGTGTAAAACCATGAATCCTCTCTGCTCTGGTCTGGACCAGTGTAAAACCATGAATCCTCTCTGCTCTGGTCTGGACCAGTGTAAAACCATGAATCCTCTCTGCTCTGGTCTGGACCAGTGTAAAACCATGGACACTACTGCAGCAACATCTCAGGTAGAAAAAAGCAAACACTTTTTGACACTTAGGACTTGCAGCATTTTCCAGCGCATTCAAAAGTAAGATGTATAGAAATAAGTGCAAAAAGCGATAAGACTGGGAATGTTTGTTGTTGCTTGTTTCTGGGAGTGGCCTAGGTCCTCGTTATACAGCCTGAATCCTGGATCTGTATCCCGTCCGTTGGTGGGAGCAGATCCCTCCCTCGATGTGGGCCTCCCTAGGGTTTGTCATTTCCTCCCACTGTGTTTCTTGAGTTGTTTATTGCTGATGCAGGAGGGTCTGAGGATGTGGAGATGATTCAGGACACTCCACATTCAACGATATATATGGACTATATCAAAATGTATGGACTAATGGCTCTATGTTTGTTATTGTTACATTTCTTATGTTTGAACTTCCTCTGATCTGTTCAAACTTAAGAAATGTGATTCTCAGATCTGTTGTGGGCAAATATACAGTTTTGTGAAGTCCTAGAGTCCGAGAGAACTACTGTTGTGCTTTTGGGGCGATGCAAAAATACATTGAATTGAATTGTTTCATAAATAATACATGCTAGATGTGCATGAACAATACAACATATGAGTAACAGTCTTGTAAAATGCTGTGGACAAGTGCTTTTAGCCGACAGCTGATTGGCTGAGTGATGGTGGGCCTTTCATTTTCAATTGTCTGTCTGAAAATGTCTTGTCCAAAGATGTGACCGAGGCAAAAAATACATAATTTGAAAACCAGTGATGGAACCACAACATTAACTTGTGGTTGTGAAAAACGGGAAGTGGACAGCGATCATTAGCATATAGTCATTTTTTTAGCATATAGAGATTTTGCTCTGGTTGTTCCCGTTTCATAAACACAGGTTTTTATTAACTTTTAGCCTCCACTCTAGCATCAGGATCAGCTTCTGAGGCTACATTCACACAGATTTGTTAAGTGCAAGTTTGTGTGTGTGTGTATATATATATATACATATATATATGCATGAGTGTACTGCAGATATATATGTACATGCGCATGGGATGGATCGATTGATTTATGCATCTGTGTGTGTCTGTGTGTGTATATGCATGTGTGTCTGTGTGTATATATGCATGTGTGTCTGTGTGTATATGCATGTGTGTGTCTGTGTGTATATGCAGCTGTGTGTGTCTGTGTGTATATATGCATGTGTGTGTCTATGTGTATACATGCATGTGTGTGTCTGTGTGTATATATGCAGGTGTGTGTGTATATATGAATTTGTCTGTCTGTGTGCATATATGCAGATGTGTGCGTGTTTGTATACATGCAGATGTGTCTGTATATTTATGCAGCTGTATGTGTGTGTGTATATATGCATGTGTTTGTTTATGTGTATATATGCAGTTGTGTGTGTGTGTGTGTGTATATATGCATGTGTGTTCATGCATTTGTGTGTGTGTGTGTTGCATGTGTGTTTACGTATGTGTGTTGCAGGTTGCACTCTGATTTGTCAAATAAGTCCATATGAGTTTAACACTGACGCACAAACATCTACAAAAAACAGATTTATATAAATGCAAAAAGGCGTCTGAATAAACTGCTTTTCTCTGGGAGGCAGAAAGTACAAATCATGAAGAACTTTGATGTGAGACGACCACAACAAGTCCTCAGCCAAAGGCACAATAACAACTGTCAGAAGTGTGATCGCAGCTGTCAACTTTTCTTTGCTTTATTCAGCAGCTGCTCAAACTTGAAACAGACCTAACTTCAGACAAAAGGACACCCGGACATCTCCGCTCACTTTGACTTCTATTATTGAGGATTTCTGCTTCTGTTGTTTCAGCGACGCTTTAAGAAGGTCTGGACGCAGTGAAAGAAGTTTTTTAATATGTAAACTACCGTCAAACCAATACAAGATGTCCCTCGATTTGGTTTAAAACTGGATTGGACAAATCAAAACCTATTCATCCAATCCCCTCCAAGAAAAAAGTATTTGGATTCTCTCTGCATCTTGTTATTTATTTTTACAGTGTACAGTATAGACACAACTCACTGATTCTGACGATTCTGTGTCTGTGCCTTTAAAGATGCAGTCTGTGATTTTTTCCAGACGCATTTTTTTAAATATTGTTGGAAAACGTCCCAACATTAAAACATTAAAACATTAAACATTTCCCGCTAAAGTTAATTAATTTTTCTGTTTTTCCATTTGACTGGAACTGATCATTTTTGTTAATTTTTCCAAGATTCTGGCGCTAGGCCACTAAAGGTACAGGGGTCATGGGCACAGTGTGAAGTGGAAGAGTTTTTAGACCTTGCTCTATGACTTGCCGTATTCTTGCTTTTTACCAGATTACTCTTTTATTGCTGTTATCTTTTGTCGTTTTGAAATTTGCATTTTTGGTCCGGTAAAAGTCTTGAACTGCACCTACGGGTGTATTTACCGCAAGGCTGAGCTGGTTTGTGCTCTGTTCTCTTAAAAGTCATGGCTCCTTGGAAGGCAACCAAGTAATTCAAGAATGCCAGAACGATGCCTTTTTGTGTGTGCGATTTTGTCCAGGTTTGACTGAAGTTAAATATCAGCATTAAAGGTGCAGTAAGCAATATTGTTAGCTTAGCCGTAGCACCCACTGGAAACCCCTCCCCTCCCTCTCCACCAAACCAAACATTCAGCATTTTCTTTTCTTTGCCACAACAGGGAGAGTGGGCGGCAAACGTTCAGCCATTTTAGGTTTTAGAAAATCCGATAACTCAGGTGCACTCGTGAGAAACAGGAAGAGGGGGAAGGGGGTAAACACATTCCATTGGTTCGTTGGGGATGAACAAATTAAAAAATGTTTATCGGTCTGCTCCAAAATATTTGAAGACTAGAGGCATCTGGTCAATTCCATTACTATTTGAAAACACATGATAACTTGACTTTAGGGTTTAGGGACGTTTTTCCACAATATTTAACAAAATGTGTCTGAAAAAATGACTGCACTGCATCTTAACAAGAACCATCTCAGGATAACACCGTGAACGTTGAGGGGCCCAGAGCCGTGAGAGCCTGCCCAGCTTCAGTGCACTGCTCCTGGATCCGCTGCAGCCGTTGGGACTTTGAGCCTGATGCTTTGTGACAGAGGAGCAGTCGGACGTAAGCGCCGGCAGGCCTAAGTACACCGACACCTGCCGCCGTGTTTACGTAATGGCACATTTTGCTTCTTCATGCAGTATTCATGGGTGTTGGGGCAGATGGGAGGCTCCGGTCCAGCTCTCTGTACGTTCTGTCGGATCCGCTCCACGTTTTATGACGGGACTTCAGCTGACGTCGCTTAAAACATTTATGGTTCGGTGTTTTAGGTCTTCTCTTGTTTGTGGCAGAAACACAGCGGTGACACGCATCTGAACTCTGCGCGCGAGGCATTTACAAACTACACAGAGAAGTAACAGGTAAGACGAGAAAACTGTGGTTAAAGCTGACAAGGCAAGTTTATTTGTATTGTACGAATCACACGCGAGGGAAGTCCATGTGCTGAAGAAAGCAAGAGAAGAAATCAAATCAAATCAAGGCATTAAACCCAGAAATAATGCTCCTCAGAGTCCCAGCAAGAGGCCAGTCCCTGTGCTCCTCAGAGTCCCACCAAGAGGCCAGTCCCTGTGCTCCTCAGAGTCCCAGCAGGAGGCCAGTCCCTGTGCTCCTCAGAGTCCCACCAAGAGGCCAGTCCCTGTGCTCCTCAGAGTCCCAGCAGGAGGCCAGTCCCTGTGCTCCTCAGAGTCCCAGCAGGAGGCCAGTCCCTGTGCTCCTCAGAGTCCCAGCAGGAGGCCAGTCCCTGTGCTCCTCAGAATTGGTTCATATGACACTAACATGTCACAGATGGACTTTGGTTTGAGGCCGTTGAGAGACTCAATCGCAAACAGAGGTGATTTAAAGTCTATTCTCTGAGCCATTGAAATGTAAAGGCTAATTTTGTTCAGTAGTTTTTGCTACAGACACACACACACGCACACAGACACACACACACACACGCACACACACACAAACATTACTCATTAGCCAGATAATCGAGGGTTAAAATTTTGGCTAGTTATCATCGTTCGATTAAATTTCTTTTAATTGTGTATTGCCCTAATTTACAGCAGCAGTCGTCTCGTCTTGGAGATTGTCGATTCACCTACAACAGATCAGAGAATCAAACAGTTCAAAAACAGGAACTACAATAATGACAAACACTTGGTCTTCAGAGAGCACGATGACCACTGTCCAGAAATTATAATAAATGTCCTTAAATGGAAAAGAAAGGGAAAAAAGAAGGTCTGAGGCGCCACTGACTTAAAAGCAATCCTTAATTTCACCTTTTTAAACGTCCTTTAAAGACCTTATGCCGGGTTTAAAAAAAAAAAATTGTGGATATCAAAATTGAATGACAATGTCAATCTGAAAGAGATTCTGGAAAAAAAATCCTATATTTTATAAAAAGAACATGTTTTTCATGAATTTAAGCTGTCTATGCTCTAACCTGTGTGTGACGTCACAGCGGGTAACGCCCATGCATTGAAAACCATGGATCTATGCCACAGGACTGCCTTTTCTCTCTTCTCTCCACTGATGCCCAACACAATACTGCACTCTACAGGTGATAATTGCTCACTACACATAAGTTGCCGTTTTGAGTGTGAAAAAGTGTCCGAGGTGGGATTTGAACCCAAGTGCCTGGATTGGCAGTGCAACGACACAACCACTGGACTATCTCAGTGACAACAAAGTGTTACAATCTAGTATTTATGTCAGACTCGCTGTACACGGCCTTGTCATCTTGAATATCCGCGAAAAAAGAACAAATACCAAATTATAAACAACTTACAGTGTTGAAACGTACCCACTCTGACGTCACCAAGGGCTGTGAAGTTTTTTCGTCTCTAAGGGCGTTGCTATGGGGTTATTTCGATTTGGGGGGATCAGACAAAAAAAACAACAACTGATTTTGAAACCTTTAGTAGTTCTCTTCTAATATAAAATGGTATTAAAACTGTATTTCTAAATAAATCAAACCCGTCATAAGGTCTTTAAGGTTAACAAAACAAGACAGTTTTCCTGGTCGTATTGTATGCTAATCGGCTGAAGTGTCTACCAGCCGCACCTCTGACCTGGAACGCCGACGCTCCGCTCTCCCGTGTCCGTGCGATGAACCGGAACGCGGCACTGATGGCGGTGCGTTTAATGCAGCGGGACGTTTGAGTTCTGTGGGAGAAGCCGGCAGCGGTCTTCATGACGCATCTGTCACTCGTCCACTGACTCACAGCACATGTGTCTGTGACGGGAACGAGGAGAGAGAACATGCATTTTTCTGTATTTTTAGTGAAAGGCTGCGAGTTGAATTTATAATCGTGAACAGATTTGCGGATGTGCTTCCAACCCTTTGTCTTTTATTTCGTACTAGTAGTCCCAATATTCCATTCAAATCATGTTTGTATTGCCAAAAATCACAACAGTTTCAGTTAATCGTACAATTAGAATCAAACAGAGGAGAAAATAAAACCATTGATTTAGAATATTAATGGGTCCATAAAGAGGAACAGAAAATATCCAATGATCAGGCGTTGGATCAAACTGACTTCCCAGAGAGAGAAAAAGAGACAAACTGCAGAGAAGAGAGAGTTTGTACAGATGGACAAGCTATAGACAAGTCCAAAGGCTGTGGATGAAGGACTCAGACTGTATCTTGGTCCAGGACTGAGTGACTATAGATCCAGGACTGAGGCTGTAGATCCAGGACTAACGCTGTAGATCCAAGACTGAGGCTGTAGATCCAGGACTGAGGCTGTAGATCCAGGACTGAGGCTGTAGATCCAGGACTGAGGCTGTAGACCCAGGACTGAGGCTGTAGATCCAGGACTGAGGCTGTAGATCCAGGACTGAGGCTGTAGACCCAGGACTGAGGCTGTAGATCCAGGACTGAAACCACAAGTGAACAACAGCCCTAACCTCAGCTCCATGTAAACGAGAGCTGAACACCCTTTTCCTGATAGAAGAGAAACCGTCTCCTTCTGGACTCGCCCTAAATCGGCGATGCATTCTGGGTAATATATAGAAAACTCTAGCCCACGGTCAAATCCATTAGTCCTGCCGAGTTTTATCATCTCCCGAAAGCACATTGTTTTTCGCTCACTTACATTTGCAATCATGTCTTTGAGTAATTATTTTTAAGAACATGACTCAATCTTCCCCCAGCCATATGGTGTTCCGTGCGGCGGGGTTCGCGGACAAGAATTATAATTAATTTGAATCATGATTTGAGCAATTCTGCGTCATTAGTGTATTCGTTTATTCCACTCGTCAAGGTTTAGGTTAAAAATAACGACGGATCTCACTGCGACATTTAATCACATAAAGCGACATTATCAACTCTTCTTCCGCAATTATGTTTTACTTTTATAATTATTTAGATTTATTAGACATTCACCTTACCCTTAGCACAGGCAAGCACAGGCGCTTTGGAGACGGCACCTGAATCACGGCAGTTCTTCAGCAGAAAATAGAGGAGATTAAGTCAGAATAATGTCATTAATCTGTGATCGTTTCATTGATAAAAACGTGTTATCAATAAAGACTTTTTGTGGTCAATGTTTATTTCATATTTATTTCTAAAGGACAGTTTATACGGTGTAAGCCAAAGTGCTTCAGCAGCCAAACGCAATAAATGTTGATTTAAAACGCAATAAAAGAAGCCATAGGATATAAAAACAGTGCAAATTTATACAAAACATTATATGTGAGACTCTTACTATTGATTCCCACTGTCTGCTGTCGTTTGTCCTTTGGCAAGACACTTAACCTCTGGGAACACCAGCCACAGTGGGGCGGCTGCGGCTGTAAAGTGCCAAACTGCCGTTGTGTCCTTAGGCAAGACACTTTATCCCCATTGCCTAGAATGAGTCTGGTGTGTGTGTGAATGGTTGGTGGTGGTCGGAGGAGCCGATGGCACAGACTGGTTGCCTCGCTTCTGTCAGTGTGCCCCAGGGCAGCTGTGGCTACAGTAGTAGGTCATCACCAGTTTGGAGTGAAACAATAATGACATTTAAAGCGCTACATAAAACCGATGCATATAGTTGTAAAAATGAGACAGTTTTATAGATATAAACATTGCACACAGATCTCCAGAACCTTCTCTTTCTAAACTAAATTGTAATCTCTGTATGATAATGTATGGTAATGTATCCATCTACTTTTATTTCACTGTTTTACAACGACCTGCTCAGGGACTACAGGCGTGAATTAGCACTGCTGCTAATACCTGGTACAATGCATCTCTGCTTCTGGCTAATGTTTATTGTACACTGTCTCTGTAAAAATAAAAACCAGACCATACCATACCATACCAAACACACACAGCCCTCCAGAACTGTTGCTAAATGTGTTTTTTTTTTTTTTCTGATATTGTAAATCTTTGTCCTCCATCCAAACTCCTATTCAGCCAAGTCTGTACCAGTGATCTGCGTTTGGCGATGTCCAGTGTCTTAACCTGAAGGGGCTAGACATCATCTCTGTCTGGAGCACACTGGGGTCGTCTTGGCCACTCTTTCCAATGTGTTGTTTTAGTGCAAATGGCAAATAAACTCTTGCATCTTTAATGTTGTAAGAGAATGCGTCGCTTCTCTCCGGTTTTTCACATTACATTCTGTCACAAAAACGCTCCCGTGTCTGATGCGTCCGCTGCTGATGAATGGATGAGTGGTTAATTGGCCTGAAGTGGCGTTGAGTAACTTTTGAAAGGATTAAAAGTGACGACCTGTCATTTACTCTGTGAGGGATTATGGTCCCACGTGTCTGCCTCTGAAAACCAACCAGAGGACATTATAGTTTCCTACAACCTACGACTCATTGAGCAAGGGTCTGAAACGCACCTTTAAGTATGGCCTGGTTTTACAAGAGCTGCATGGTGGTTACACTTAGAAATAATTGTTCTGTATCTGTTCTGGTTCCTTATGAGCCATTGGAAAATGATTTATTTTGGTATGCAAATAGTTCTGTTTTGGCACATTTTTGGAGTGAATTCCTGGCTAACCGGAAGTGGCAAATAGTCATCGTTGATTCCACCTCGCTGACATGGTTCCGCTCCAGTTTCAGACCACATTGCTGTGTTTGAGCCCCCACAGCCTGTACGTTTGTATTGTTAGCGTGTTAGCACTTGAGAAGGCTTCCATGTTATTTTTTTCCCGACTTTGTTTGTTCTGGGGTTGTCTTTAATTAGCGCCGAATGCTACCGCCGAATGCTAGCACCGCATGCTAGCACTGTTTACATGCTACCGCTAACATTAAAATTAGCTTTGTATTTGTTCAGCAGCACCTTGACAGTGTTACATGTTTATTTGTTTGAATGCACAACTTTAAGACTGTTTTTATTTATTTATTACAGTTTTGCCACTCTCACGGTACCAAAGTGAATAAAGCCAGGAAAAGGAGTCACCTGTGTGGTTAGTTTTCTGGTTATCTGCCTGCCTAGAAAAGCCAAAGTATCATTTTTTTTTTTATATTAACCGATTTTAGCTGATAATAAAAGTGAGTACAGGTTTAAAAAATATAAGCCAAGCAAAATCCGAACTATTGTGATTTAACCGAACTGTCAAAGAACTAATTTGATATATTTTAGTTCTTTGTGGTGCCGCCTGCATGTCAAAGCCAGATCCTGTCAGACTTCTGAAGCGAAGCAGGGCAGGGCCTGGTTTGTGCTGTGATGGGAGACCTCTGGGAACACCAGGCTGTAAATGATCAAACTGTCTTCAAGTCCTTGGATAAGACACTTCATTAAAAGGAGTCGGTGTGTGTGTGAATGGTCGGTGGGAGTGGGAGGGGTTGAAGGCACACACTGATAGCCTCGCTTCTGTCAGTGTGCCCCAGGGCAGCTGTGGCTAGAGTAGCATCTTCACTGTGAATTGAGAGAATGAATTATACTGTGAAGTGTCTTTGAGTGTCCTGAAAAACGGTTTTATCGTTGGTTCCCCCAGCTTTAGACCCCAGATTTAGCCCCACACCTCCACTCACATATCACAGTTTGAACACTCTCTCCATCTGAACTCTTTATTCACCGGGTTTCTGTCTCTCTCTGCGTCTCTGCCGTCGTGGGCTGGCCGGAGCGGTGAATCCAGGTCATCACAGCTGGTCTCATTTTAATGGATGTGGCTCAAAAACCACAGCGCGTTCCGCCTCATCTTCGGAGGTTTTGAAGTCACCAACGCACAGGCTGTAAATGGCAGCCGGAGACTCGCAGAACACACGAATCAAACAAAATTGAAATGATGATAAAAATTACCATCCGAGAACACAGCTACGGTGACGCAAATGCTTCTGTCCACGCAGTTGCACAAGATTTCTTGGCTGAGATAAGCCTTGGTTTGAAATGAAAGCGGGGCTGGTGTAATAGAGTATCTGTCGTGGTGTGGACTTTCATTATTTTTGAACCTTGATGGATTTTATTACCTCCTCTCTGAATTCTCCTTCCTGTCATGTCTCCACCGGTCTGTCCATTGTCTCTTACTTAGTTTGTCCCTGGTCTGTCTTTGGTTCTGGATTTCTGGATTTGGTTTTATTTCAGGAAAATACAGCTGTGAGATGTGGTTGCATGGAGAGACCTGAGAGAGACCGGAGGGAGACCAGAGAGAGACCAGAGAGAGACCAAAGAAAGACCTGAGCGAGGCCTGAGAGGGACCAAAAAGACACCAGAGAGCGAACAGAGAGAGAGAGACCAGTGACAGAGACTAAAGAGAGAGACCAGAGAGAGGGACCAGAAAGACACCAGAGAGAGAACAGAGAGAGAGACCAGAGAGAAACCAGAGAGTGTCCAGAGAGAAAGACCTGTATCCACCCCACGTTGTTACCCTGGATTTTATTTTATTTCAGTAAATTACAAAAATATAAAGAGACCAGAAAGGGAGACCAGAGAGAGACCTGCAAAGGAGCAGAGAGAGACCAGAAAGAGACCTGCAAAGGAGCAGAGAGAGACCAGAGCGAGAGGGAGATACCGTGATATCTGGACCTGCATATTCTGTACTGTGAACCCCTGTCATATCTGTATTACTGCTAAACATTATTATCTGAATGTATGTTCTGGCGCACATTGTTACTACAGCATCTGTATCTCAAGCACGAGACATTTTTATCTCAAGTGAAGACGTCTCTGCTCAGACCACATTGTTACAAATCGTATGAAAAGCCTTGTCTCCTTTTCTTCGATCAGGAGGGACTTCAAAATAAACCATTGCACAGGTGCATT